TTTTTTTTTTTTTTTTTTTTTTTTTTTTTTTTTGACCAGATGGATCCACTTCTTTTTTGTTGTCTTTAATTTGAAACTTTTAGTTCAGTTATTACTGCTGTTGCCGTTGTTGATGGTGATGTTTGAATTGATTTTTTTTTCACTTTTCTCCTATTGTTGCTGGTAATGATGATGGTGCTGCCAAATTGGACGATGGCGATTGCAATGGCGATGCCGATGCCGATGCCGATGCCGATGGCAATGGCAATGGCAAATGCAGTGCCGATGGGGTGTTATGCATTGGAAGGAGGGCAATTTTTGGTGAGATTTGGAAGCCGCATTTTATGTGTACATACGCATTTTCAATTGATTTTTCCGATGGATGCAATTGGAGAATTGGAGAAGAAAACGCTTAGTTATGCTTATTTCTGAATTATACGAAATAATTCTTGCATTAAGTTCTTGGAATGCCTTTTTTCCATTCTTTTCATCTTTTCTTCAGAAAAAAAAATTTTTTTCTCTTGACTTTAAAAACTCTTCAACCTTAAGTCTATATAGATGCTTCAACATCGTGTACTCTTTCCAAACACATTTTAAATGCGGTCTTTTCAAATCGAAGCAACAATCTGAAAGTTAGTTTCTTTGCGAGGTGGAATTTAAGCAACAAGATGGGACTTGGAATGACTGTTGTGTAACTTCTATTCGTAGTACCACAAAAATAAGGAGGCAGACAAGTGAACTGTGTAGAAGAAATTCACTTTTTTATGTTTTTAATTCATAATCTTAAACGGTGTGGAGAAATTGAGAACTTTTTTTTCTGCTTGTCTTCTTTAAGGAGAAACTGAAGTGTAGCGGATAGAGGCTAGGGTAACTATGGGGCAAAGATTAACAAATGGCTAATTGTTGAGCAACAAAATTTTGTTGAATTTATTTCAAATCTATGCAATTTCTACCAGTTCTTATATTTTGAATATTCTTGAAATTTCTTTGGTTGTTCAATAACTTCTACCTGGAAGGGCGAAATATTTAAATAGAGGAATAAAAGAGAGACTTGAACGAGAAATTTATTGTGAAAAAAAAATGCCTGTTTCTCATTGAACTAAAATTGAATTAAAAATTTAGTTTAGTTTAGTTTATTCTTTTTCGATATCTCTTTCTTAAGAACATCTTTTTGAAGTGACTAAATGGTGTGTTGGTGAAAGAGCAGCAAAAGAAAAAATAGAAGGAGGGAAGAGTAAAAAAAAGAGGAGGAGAAATAGGACAGACAGAAAAGTTAAGAAATTATTTTTTTGTTTTATTTTTTATTATTCGTTTTATTTTGTTTTTATTTTCATTTTCTATTTTTTTATTTTTTATTTTTCTTTTTTTTATTTTTTATTTTTTTTTTTGTTGTTTAAGAAAGCAGCATAAAGTAAATATTTTTTTGGGTATTCAATGTGTAGTCGAAAAGTTGAGAACCCTTTTGGGTATTATATGGAAATGGTGCGTTACTTTTAGCAATTACTTTTGGGCTTAAAACTGCATTAAAACATAGGTTTTTTTGATAGAACTAAAAAGAGGCTAACAACAGCACAACAGAAAAAAACCTAAAAAGAGCTTGACGACAAAAAAATAAAACAAAAAAAGGGAAGGAGGAAAAAAAAACAAGAAGAAAGAAGAGGAGAAATTAAAATGATCAGTATTTGCGGTCCCGTTGGACGAGGTTGTTTGTATAATCAGTTTTCTGAACATAACGGCATAGAGACAGCCCTAATTGGCAATGGTGACGACGATGATGGCTGCGGTTCTCGTTTTTACGAATCCCATTCTGCTCTTCTTTGCAAAACTTTTGATTGTTTTCCACGCATCATCAGTAGCAGGGCTAGCATCTGGCACCAATTTAGTCAGCAGATAGCCACTGGTCTGATAACTTAATGCTTTTAGATCGGTGACTCCAAAAAGAAGAGACGAAAAAAAAAAGCAGAAAAAATTGTTAAGGTTTGAAAAGGTTCGATAGTTTTAATTCTGCATCTCATTCTTGCTGAATTCCACCCCGTTGACATGTTGCTTCATTAAGCTGTACATCCATCTTTGGCGTTTTTGCACTTTTTGGACCCCTTGTTCCTTTTTTTTTGTCCTTCTTTCTTCTTGACATCAACTTGCTTGAAACAAGGCTTAGAGGTAGTGCTGAAAGCCAGATTTTATCGATCTAAGTTGATGCTGCCGACACTTGACAAAGGAAAGGCAAGGGCCACTATGTTGCAAACGGCAACAGCAGATAAACTCACCTTCCTTTTTCACTACTACTACCATACTACTACTATCACTACAGCGCTTGCACTCAGATTCCGTCAAAAAAAGCAGACGGAAGACTTAATTTTTCATTTTTTCTTATTCAGACAAGACTGTAGTGGTTTAGGCAAGCCACTAAAGGATCAGTTTAGTGAAGTTAAGAATTGAACGATTACTAACTGGCTGACACTTTTCAGTTTCCTATAAACCAAGAGAGGCAAATTGGTTTGTTAAGAAACCACATATTATAGCTGTAAAATTTTTGTTGGATTTTCGTGGATATGAAAGAATATTTTTTGAGTTCAAATAGAAGAGTTGTTTTTTATTTTTTTGTTTTATTACCTCTGTTTTTCGGTACTGTTGCCAGTCAAAAAGAGCTGACATTATTGTTTGCTCATTCATATTTAAAAATTGTTTGGTCATTAATTAATTGGAAAATTAAAGTTTTTGTGAAAATATAGCGGTAACGAAGTGAAGGAAGATGGAAGTAGATACTGGGAAAAAAAAATTTTGAAGGATAGGATTGATTGTTCTTTGTCGTACATTTGTTTGTGTGTGTGTGTGTTTTTTTTTTTGGATCTTCAACTATGAAGAAAGAAAATAAATTTTTGGGTGTCTTTAAACAACTCACCATGATTTTTGTCCTTAAAAAAAAAAAAAAACAATTTTTTAAACATTAATTTCAGTTTTTTTTTTGCTTTGCTACGTTTTTGTTTTTTAACACTTAAAAACTTGCATTCTTGACAGTCAAAGAGGATTAGCATTACCGGTTTTTATTGTTTTCCTGAAAAACTTGATTGATTCTTAGGATTTTTCTGCGATTTGTTTTAGTTTAACTTAATTCTTTATGTTAGCTTAACTGTTCAGTTTTTGTTTGTCTGACTTTGTAGAGGAAAAAAAATCTACATTTTTTTTTTTTGTATTGCTTAAATGAATAAAAACTTTTTTTGGAATACAGAGAGGAAAGGAGAAAAATTAAAAAGTACAGTAGAGTCTTTGAATCAGTAAATTAAATTGGTAAGAATTGAATTCACACCGTAGTGTCTGTGTATGTTTTGTGTATCTGTTCCGCAAGATGATAACGATGTTGGAAATAATTGTTGGAAATATTGTCGATGTTGTCGACAGTATCGACTGTCGTCAGCATTATTGTCAGATTCTGCCAGACGGTTACTCAGGTGCATTCAATTAGCTCTACTTTGTTGTTTTTCTTTTTCGTTTCGTTCATTTTGTTCGTCTGAAATTTGCTACTTTTAGTTTTGTTGCATTGGTTAGTGGATTTAATCCAATAAAACTGTTTAAAGTCACGGTTGTTTTATGGTTTTTGTTTCAACTCGTATTCAGTGTTATTTCGCTTGTTTTTTATTATCGTTTTTTTTTTTCTGAATGCTGCTGCACTGCTTGGATTGTACATTTTTTTTCCCTAATTCTGCTGAATTCGTGGATTGTAAATCGACAGAGGGGAGGAGAGGGGACAATTGTTTTTGTATAAGCGAACAACTGCAAGAAGTATAAGTTCTGCCTTGAAGATTGTCAACTGATGAACCAGCGTTTTTATACTTTTGGATACTTTATATATTTATTTAGTTTTGTTTTTCTAACAGCTTAAAGCTTTTATTTGGAACAAAAAAAACCTTAGTTTATTTTTTCTGCTACATTTATTCCATTTGGATTGTAGCATAGAGAATGAAAGGAAAAATTTTTTTTTTGATTCCTCAATAGAGG